TCTGAGAACCACTGCTTTCCATTAAACAGGATTCTACACTGAGTTCCAGTGTAGTGGGTGTGGGGTGGGGGCAGCGTGACTACCAGGAATTGAACTCAGAGGCACTCAACTACTGAGCCACATCCCTAGCCTTATTTTGTATTTTATTTAGAGACAGGGTTCTCACTGAATTGCTTAGTGCCTCACTGTTGCTGAGGCTGGTTTTGAATTTGGGACCCTCTTGCCTCAGCCTCCTGAGCCACTGAGATTACAGGCGTGTACCACTATACTCGGCTGAATTCCAGGTTTCAAAAATATTTCTGATATAATACTTTTAAAGCCAAGGCCTCCTAGTGGTGTAGTGGCACTCACCTGTAATCCCAGTGACTCAGGAGGCTGAGGCAGGACCTTGGCTCTACCACTGGGCTACATCCCCAGCCCTTTTATTTTGAGACAGGGTCTTGCAAAGTTGCCCAGACTGGCCTTGCTATCCTCTTGCCTCAGCCTCCCAAGTCACTGGGATAACAGGTGTGCACCACCTCCAAATGCTCTCTCGATGCTTAGTGCAACAGCATGAACAGACCTTGATTCTTATTCTTGTCCTGAGCAGAAATCTGACCGCTAACTACCTTCTCTGAGCTGTAGTTTCCCTTCTTGTAAAATGAAGTATCATACTGAACTTGTAGTATTAAGGGCTAAAATGAAAAAATGGTTGTGGGGAGCCTGGCAGTTATAAATAAACATTGTTTTTCTCCCCATCCACTCCAAAAGGAGTCTAGCTGAGATGATCACCAATTTCATGTGGTTTAAAGGAATCCTGCACTCAATGCTTTATTAATTCTTTTGAAATTTGCTGAGGATGCGTCCAAAAGAACAGGCTTTTTGTTTTCCCCTTTTCCCCTCAGTGAATTATCCCCCTGGTTTAGTGACGTTTCAGACTTTTTTTTTTTTAAAGAGAGTGGGGGGGAGAGAGAATTTTTTTAACATTTTTTTTTTTTTTAATTCTCCGCAGACACAACATCTTTGTATGTGGTGCTGAGGATCGAACCCGGGCCACACGCATGCCAGGCGAGTGCGCTACCGCTTGAGCCACATCCCCAGCCCGACGTTTCAGACTTTTGAGTGCCATTTCAAACCTCAGAGTTAAAGACTTCTAGTGAAAAATTTTAAAGTTATGAGGCCAAACACCTATGTGGGGTTCCCAACTCTTTCCTTCCCCCACAGCAATGCCCCCGTCCAATGCCCAGGATGCAGTCAGTGCTGGGGATCAGATGAGCTGATTCTATGTAAGGATGGCTCACCGCAGGTCCAAGCTTGCTGTCTGGATCCTTGACTCACTTGAAGGGTTCGCTCAGCTAAAAGCTCCTTACACTCCACCTGGCCCTTCTTTAATGGTAAAAGATGTTACTGTTCCCAAGTCCCTCAGCACCAGGCTCTCGATGTGTCCCATACATTTCAGTGTTTCCAACTGGAAGGGTCTGGGATGGCAGGGAAGCAACACAACTGCCAGAGTTGAAATCCTGGTTTTGTCATGAGCTGGCTATATAACTAACTATGGGTAAATTCTTTAACTTCAGCCCTCGGTTTCCTTATCTGTAAAATGGGATAATGATACCTACCCTTCAGAATTACAATGAAGTTTAAGTGAAATCATACAAAAAAGAACATACTGTTAAGAATATAACCGGCAGCCAATATATTTGCTATTATTTCAGTTCTTTAAGTTTCCCAATTGCTGTTTCCAAAAGGATCAAAGAAACTTATCCCACTGTATTCTTTCTTTCCCACCAAGCAACTGGTTGAAGACAGGCAGCCAAAGAAGCAGGGAGGACAGTAAAGAGCCTGTGAAAACTCCAAAGTGATATATCAGGAACGATTAAGAATCTTCAGGAGGCATTAGCTAGACTTTGCTCCTGAATGACCCATGAACAGGGACAACGTCATCACACCCTTGATTAATGCCAGGTGTCCAGGACAACTTAGGACATGAAGATGATGATGGTAAAGAACATTCCTTCATTTCAACAAATATGTAAAGCACCATTCTTGATTCTGGGTCAGACCCCTGGCCTCACAGAGGAAAGACCTCTTATTACTAGACATAACCACAGGAATCCTCTTCCACTCCTCTTCCAATGTGCTATTGAATCTCAGAGTTTTCAGAGGGGTAAACAGTGAAAACCACCAGTCAATCATTGTTGGTTCCTGCATGCTACACCAGTCCTCTGCCAAAGGCGGGACACACCATCACTCATCCACACAGCAGGGAGTGGCCTCTGACATAAGGAGTGCCACTGGACAAATGTGCAGATTTGGAAACTTCAAGTTTCCATGGTAAATAAGTAAGAAAGTCAGGAGTGGCTCAAAACCAAAGTCTTACCTAGGTTACAGCAATGGATTTCAGTAGGTGTATTTTTCAACAAGCTGTAGAAAGAAGTGAAATTCAGCCCAGCCTATGCTAGCAGCCAAATCACCCCGAGATACACCTTTAGGAGAGCCACTACGGCTAAAAAATTCTTAAGTGACCCAGACCTTACTTAGCAGGCCAAGTCTTCAGATGAGATTTAAAGTCTGTTCAGACTTAGCCTCATTGGAGCTTTCCAGCTTCATTTCCTGTGGGGCTTCTTGTCATCTCTCAGGTGGCGTCTGTGCTGCTGTACCCTGTACCTGTTGGCTCACAATGTCTCCCTCGCTGCCTCTAGTCATGGTCAAGACTCAACCCTTCCTCAGGACCGTATGGGATCTCAGTCCTTCCGTAAGATTCTTCCTAATCCCCACCCCCAGGAAGATGTGATCCCAGCTCTCGAACCCGCTGGGCTTTATAGCTGCTCAGATATCCACTCCCATTAAAGTAATTGACACATCTTACTTCCTGTCTGTAATTCTCATACCACTTAGCCCGGTGGCTCTGCTGATTGAATCAGGCTCACTTATGACTTCCTGTAAACAGCGAGGTAAAGGATATGCCACATTATTAACAGCATCTTATTTTTATCACCCCTCACTTCTTCATGCACCTTCTAGTTCTCCTGTATATTCCAGATTATATATGTGTTCAAAACACCTAAGCACACTGTTACACAAAACCCATGGCTGAGTGACTGTTCTCTGTATGACAGGCTGTAAAGGAATCTGGTTGGGATTGATCTTTAAGAGAGAATTTAAAGATGGAGAGAAGACATTTAAAAACTCTGGGCATCACCATTTTGTGAGGGGAGAAATGATCAATTCTGTTTCTGATGAAATTGTACTGAAGAATATACTTTTTTTTAATAAATATTCTTCAGATGTTAATGAACCTTTATTTTATTCATTTACTTATATGTGGTGCTGAGAATCGAACCCAGTGCCTCACACATGCCAGGCAAGTACGCTACCACTAAGCCCCAGCCCCAGAGAATATACTTTGATTTGTGGTCACAGCTGTTGCTGGGAGCCATTAGCCAAGTAGGTATGACAATTTCCTTGCCAGCATACCCCATGTTGCTTAGTGGAAGGACTCGTGGAAATAGGACATTTTGCAGTGACATTGCATGTAGGTGACCTTGCTCAAGGACCAAGGCGGATCCGGGTTTAGGGTGTTCCTGGTTTAGGATGATCCGAGTTTAGGGCGTTCCCGGTTTAGGACTATCCGGGTTTAGGGTGGTTCCAGGTTTAAGATTATTCCTGCTGGGAATAGGGCGTATCCTGCTGCCTGAGTTCCCCTTGAGTTCTCACGGGATTCAGACAGTATTTTTTGGGAGACAGAAGCCCAGTGGGGGTGGATTTGGGCAGAGAAGTGGATTTCCCCAGAACGTGATTGTAGACGGCTGGTGTGAGTTCGGGAATAAAGAGTTGCTGTTTGAATCTACAAGCTGTGTGGTGGCTCGTGATTTTGTGCCCAGCCAGACTGCGGCAAGCTGTGACTTCATCTGTACCTGAGGACAAGATGCTGTCCATAATCCAAAGCTGCGTTCCCCAATGGACAAGATGCCCATTAGGAACTTGGCACACCCAGTATGTATCCTTACAGAGGGTCCCTGCTATGGGGGCAGTCAAGGGCCCCAGCCCAGTTTCTAGAAACCAGGCCTGTGTCCTGTCCTCTGATATTTGCCACAGTGAGGCAGGAACAGTCATAATTTCATCTGGGGGAAACACAAATGCTAAAGCAGAGTTACAATTTCTGAATAATAGTTCCTCATGGGTCCCTTCCCAAATTAAGTTTCCAGCTCTCATTTAAAACTAACATGGCCTCACGGTGCATGCCTATAGTCCCCGCTACTTGGGAAACTGAGGTGGGAGGATCACCTGAGTCCACAGGTTCAAAACCAGTCTGGGCAACATAGTGAGACCTCCATCTCAAAACAACAAAAAGGGGCTGGAATTGTGGCTCAGTGATAGAGAGCTTGCCTAGCACGTGTAAGGCACTGGGTTCGATCCTCAGCATCACATACAAATAAATAAATAAAATAAAGGTATTGTGTCCATCTATAACTAAAAAAATAAAATAAATAAAGGGGGGCTGGGGGTGCAAATCAATGGTAGAACACTTGCTTAGCATGTGTGAAGCTCTGGGTTCAATTCAGCACCAGAGAAAAATAAAAATTAAGAATAAGTAAAATAGCCAGGCGTGGTGGTGCATGCCTATAATCCCAGCAGCTTGGAGACTGAGGCAGGAGGATTGTGAGTTCAAAGCCAGCCTCAGCAAAGGCAAGGCTCTAAGCAACTCAGTGAGACCCGGTCACTAAATAAAATACAAAAAAAGGGCTGGGGATGTGGCTCAGTGGTTGAGTGCACCTGCTGAATTCAATCTCCGTACCCCTCCCTACCAAGAAAAAAGAATAAGTAAAATAAAACTAATCTAATTTAAGTGAAAATTTACTAAAATCACTTTCTTTTAATGCTGAAACTGGAATTTCTACTCATTCTTACCAAATGTCAATCTGTACATCTATAAATCTGCTAGATTACCTTAGAGGAAGATAGCACCCAGTTTTCCAGCTCTTTGAAGTAACCCCCGAACCTTTTTAAGCCATTCTCACCTTGATCCAATAACATCAAAAAGATGTTGCCAGCGATCGTTGATTTTGTTGAGCTTGTCATCGATCTCAGCTGCTCTTGTCTTGCTGCTGGCCTTGATCAACTGGTCACCCATCTGCTTTAGCTGTAACTTGTTTTCACTGAACAAGTTTATTTCTTCCATGCAGTCCTGGCAAAAGCACCAAAAAAGTCTGCATTATCCCTGCAAACTCATTTCTGCTCCAGTCATAAACACACAGTTGCTGCTTAGAATCCTTTTAAAAATCAAAAAATTCTCAGGCCTGTTAACATAACTCAGCTGTGAAAGGCTAAAAACAAACCCGGCCCACCAGGCAAATGTGAAATGTATAAAGCAGCAGTTAGTTTGTCAATTCAATAGTCCCTAGGGTTGCTCTCCGGGGATTAGTGATCATTTCAAAATCATGGGCTTCACTGCTGTTGGTCTCTCCCCTTTGGCAAGGTGATCACCTTATAATAACCCCTGGAGAGGGCTGGGGGTGTGGCTCAATGGGAGAGTGTTTATCTAGCATGAGTGAGGTCCTGGGTTCCATCCCTAGTGTTGCAGCAAAACAAAACAACCTCCAAAACCCCCTGAGAAACCAGCCCTGGTTTAGGGCCTGAAGGATGCTCGTGAGCTCCTTCTCTGGCCAAACTTCCTAACCAAGGGCAAGCAACTCCCCTTAGTACCATGTCCACCTATGATGGTCTCACACTCCCATCTCTCTGGAATCTTCTTTCTGTCAACTTTTCCCTCCAAAGGATCAAAAAAAATGTTACTGGAAACACACCCTAATGAAGCCAGATTTAAAGTTAGGTAGTCAGTGTAGTTAGGTAAATCGGGTCTAATATCGAGTAAGATCTAAAATGGAGGCCATGTTGAGAATGAATTCCGGAAAAAGTTGAACAACTCTTGGAATGTTAATGAAGTCCAGGAAAAAGCCCAAGGCCAAAGCCAATGCCAAAGAAGTGTTAATGAATAGTAAACTTGAAGACGCTGACTCAGAAGTGCCCAGATTACTTCTTTGGCCCACATGTGTCCCAACCCTTCGGGCCTTCCCACCTACATTCCATCACTGAGAACTATAAAAATGGGAAACAACCGCACTTCCACGGATTCCATCTCTTGGGTCCCCTTCTTCCTCCGGGAGAAGTCTTTTCTGCTGTCCTTTAATAAACTTCTAATTTCCACTCTGACCTTGCCTCTGCGTGCTTCTCTGGTGTTATTCTTCAACATTGGGGAAGCAAGGACTCACCGGTCAACAGCGGTAACACTAATACATTTTACCTCTCTGAGCCTGGCATCAGGAGGGCACAGCAGTCCAAGGTCATCATAACAGCACCCACCTGGGCACCCCTGCTTACTTACCTTCTGCAACTTTTCAATCATTTCTTCAATGCTAATATCTGCGGTCTGTAGAACCTTGTTTTCCATCTGGACCAGCCAAGCACACAACTCTTTATTTTTTTCATTGAACACGATCCATGAATTGAGTCTGTCTTCAATCTCCTGTTTGCGTGTAGCCACCTGGGTATAAAAATGCATCTGGCAGCCGAGGAGAGCCAGGAAAGCCCTCCCTGCTCTCTCCTCATCAAAAGGACTATGAATTTCATTCCTTCTAATCAGCATCTCTACACACTTAAATCTATTTCTTCCTTTTAAAACCTAGAGTTTAACAGCAACAGAAGTGTTTTACACCTTTCATAGCTAAAGTAACCAAATACTGCATTGCACCTGACTGAAAGGATTAAGCTGTATGCAATGCCTCTCTATTATTATCAGGTTATATGAAAAATTAGAAATCAGAAAAGTTAGATAAATATCTTAAGCATCACCCGATTTCCACTGTTTCCTATTTTTCAATATGCATTTATTAACTACTTACTATAACTACTTACTTTAGCTATAGTAACTTTATGACCCAAATCCTTTCCTTCTAAAAAACCGATCAAGTCCTTATGCCTATAAGGCCAATGTCCTATTTAATTTGAAAATTAATTATAATCCAGATCATGATATAAATTACACATCTGTAATGCAAATGGACTAGAAAAATTGCAGTCCCTGAAATGTTCAAATGTTTAAACAAAGCAAAACAACACACAGAACGGTGCACGTCGTTCATTTAATCCACCGTCCCATTATACACTGTAATTTTGGGATGGAAACCATGGAAATATCACCAAAAACTGGTTTGCCACAGGCTGACCTCCCAACAGCCACTGCTCCATTATGAATAAGTGGCCCCTAAACTGACATCAGCAAAAGGTCCTTCTCCTTACACTGAAATTTATTACCTAAATAAATTTACATTTAGATAATGAAAATTAGCTTCATTAAATGGTCAGAAGTATTTCTTTTTTAGGTCTTCAAAAAATCTTTAAAATCTTAAGAGTTAAAAGGAGATAGCTAAGTTCTTTTAGCAAAGTTTTAACACCTTGCTTTATAGACCAGGAAATGAAGGTTGAACTCTGGGATTTTCTTACTATGTACAAAAAAACCCCTGCTCTTTTCAGACAGAGGGAGGCAAAAATACCAAATGCTGGACATCCTACCCAGACTAACCTGTTAAAAAGGCTTGAAAATCTACACTTTAAAAAAGCAAGCTTTTGGTTTCCATTCCTCAGGGCATCTATTTATCTTAGCTTTTAAAACTCTTGGCATTTTGAGCAGTGTCCCGATTGACTTCATAATGGTAACAATTAAGAACATCTGGACCCCAGTCTTTGTGTCTAACTTTTCAAATACTTTTCACATATTCTAAACATTCTTTTACAGAAAACCTAAATTAAAAAAAAACAACTTACAAGAACATTTGAAATTAGGGCACATTGTGATTATCAAACACTAAAATCAAGGAGTTTTTGATATTTAATTCACAAAAAAATGAGATTAAAGATTTTCTTTTCCTTAGAATTACATGTTCTTAAAACAAAGATCTTTAAAGTCTATTTGAACACTTTAACCCCATTCCTGTCACAATGGTAAACTGTACTACCCCAACGACAGTCCTCTTCCTGATAAGTAGAAGGGGGCCCCCCTGAGAGACAGAACAGCAGTTGGCCACTTCTGTAACAGTGGCCCCTTCACCTCTGAATATAGCCCTCATTACTCTAAGATTTTTTTTTAATGTTTTTTTTTCTCACTTCTCCTCTCTCCCCCTCCCTAACAATATTGGGGAGACAGTGTTCTCCTTTCTTTCCTCTACTTAATTTCCTTTGAATACACCTATTAGAGGAAGGAGATGCCAGCGGTGGATCTGGGAAGTGAATATCTCCCAAATTAACAAGTAAATCTTAACAGGCCAACAGGGCGCCCTGGGACCCCCTACCAGAGCACACCTGGAATGTAACCTTTGAAGAGTTCCTTTAAAAGGACCCTGTCCCTCCAAATCGAGAGGGTCACAGCCTTTGGGACAAGAGTCCCCTGTGTTTCTTCTTTGCTAGCAAAGCAATAAACCTTTTTTTCTTTTTCTCAAAACCGTGTCCTCATTAAATTGGTATTGATTGGCATTGGGGACAGGGACCAAGCTTTTGATTACACTTCTTTTAGAGAGTTTAAAAAAACTAACTCCTTGAAATAAATCTGCGATTGCTTGTGAATGCAGAGTTCTCCAATGAACACTCCCACGCCTGCAGACACTAGGTGAGACTCCCCTGTTAGGCCCAGAAGGGACACTGCAGTAAGACACTGAAGGGACACTGCAGTAAGAGAGACCTCTTCTAATACACCAAATTAGAAGTGCTGGGACACCAAGCAGAGAGCAGAGGCCGCACATCTGCTCATGGCTGCAATTCTCCCTGCTTAAGGTGATTAAAAACAAAACAAAACTCTTAAACAGTGAGCAAACTTGCAGCATTTAGTCTGCTGAAACAAAAGGGTCAAATCTGTTAAACTCTGCTGCTGCCTTCTAAAGGAACAGCAGCCGGCCAGGGGACCCGCTGAAAAAGGGCCTCTCAATGAAAATTAACCTCCTTTCTACTTTGTCTGGCCTTCAGGACATTTCGATCAACTCCCAAGCAGCCGTACCCTGCAGTTGACTGACTTACTCTGAGGCAGAGGTCCTCCCATTGTCTGTGCAAATGCTCTATCTGCTCCTTCAAAACCATCACGTCCTCCGAGAGAATGTGCCGGGTTAAGTCGCCCTTCATGGTGTGAAGTTCTTGCAAGTTCTGAGTCCAGTTAGTCAGAGACTTCTCTAGTTCCTGCATTTAAACACAAGAGGGTGTGTGTGTGTGTGTGTGTGTGTGTGTGTGTGTGTTGGTGGGGGGAGCCTTCAACTCAAGCTGCTGTTGTTTCCAAACCTGTAGGCTAATCCTTTGATTAGACTCTGGGGGAGGGGAGGCCGGGGAAGGGGAGGGACCGGCAGAATTAGAAACAGCCCCGCGGGCTCCGCAGTCCTGGTTGGCCAGCCCTTCACCACCTTTCTCTCAAAGGAATGCTCTCTCCGGCCTTCCTTCTCAATTCCTCAGGTAGTTCAGATTTTTATATCATGCATCCTATTTTAAAGTCATGCACGTCTTTATCCTTATTTAGAGAGCAGTATATTGGAGTCTAATAACAATGTTGCACACATTTTTAATTCGGAAACTGTTACAGATAGGTAACAGTGGTGATTTCCTGCTTTTAGATTGCTGCTTACTGTTGTCAAATAATGACAATTTCTGTTCAAAGGAAATTATTTCTGGCTAACTTTCTAAATGAATATAAAATGGAAGAAAACATGAATTCTTTGCTAATAACTGACAGAGATTAGTTAGATAACTTCCTCTGGCCATAGAAACTTCTACTCTTTATATCTCTATTTTCCTTTTATTTTATATCTATGTTATTATTTTTGTGGTTCTGGGGATCAAAACCAAGCCTCACACATGCTAGGCAAGCACTCTACCACTGAGCTGTACCTTCGGCCGTAACTATCTCTGAAAATGAAGGGTTTTTCAAATTAAAACTCTGAATTTTGAATCAAGAAAATTACTTTCATCACAAAGAAGATCAAAGGAAACAGTAAGCCCATTCAAGAGTCTTTTAGGTTTTTCTTGTGCAGGGCACATTTTAAGGGTCTCCATTCCTATCACTAGGAGTCTGAAAGAAGGTCCTATGTCATTTACACCAGAAATCAGTCTGAAGGGTGGCCACCATAAAATTGTCTTAATTCTGATTGACTTTTAGAATTCTAGAAGTTACACTGGCATGCCTTCGTAACTCGCCAATAAAAATTACATTTAGTAAAATGCCCTGGGGAATTCTTTTTAATGACTGTGTGCAGATGAAGAAATGGTACCTTCATCAGAGAGAATAAATGTTTTAGACTCATGATTCTGCAGTGGAACACCACAAATGGCTTGCGCAACATAAAAGGTGCGACTCACTCACTGAGGTGCACCACTCACCAAGTTAAAGGGCTTCACTGAGTTTCCCAATCGGGTGCTAGGAAGCTCAGTCTGTCCAGTCCCCTGCTCAGAGGCCCAGCTCTGATGCCTGCACAGTAGGCAGGTGTTTTTTATCCACCCAGGTTTAAATCAATTCTTGTGATACCTACAATTGAAAGGTATACCCAGCGGCTCAGGAGGCTAAGGCTGGAGGATCAGGAGTTGAAAGCCATCCTCAGCAATTTAAGGAAGCCCTAACCAACTCAGAGAGACCTGTCTCTAAATAAAACATAGAAAAGGGCTGTGGATGTGGCTTAGTAGTTAAGTGCCCCTGGGATCAAACTCTGGTACCAAAAAAAAAAAAAAAAGGATTGGACTCCCCCCCACAACCCACACACTTTGGGTAGTGCTGGGAATTGAGCCCAGAGCCTCTTTCACACTAAGGAAGGGCTCTACCACTGAGCTATACTCCCAGCCCAAGATATAGGACTTTTGAATATGGACAATTCTATGATTTTAAATAAGTATTGCCAAATTGTGTCCTCAAATGGATGATTATATCTGTTTCTCCACATACTTTTTGGTGTTGAGTTTTATATATTTGGGGGGCAAGTTTAATATGTAGGAATGATAACTAATGATTCTTTCAGTTTTCCCCCTCCCCCGGTAGGGATTGAACCTAGGGGCACATATTATTGAGCTACATCCTCAGCCTTTTTTCCTTTCAAACAGGGTCTCCTATATTGCTGAGGCTGGCCTTAAACTTGCCTCCTGAGTTGCTGGGATTATAGTTGTGTGCCACCACGCCCAGCATAAATTCTGAATTTCAAACCATGTGACTATATTACATATTCAAAAATAATTTAAAAATTAAAATCACTCCTAGGACTAAAATTTTATAAACACAGATATCTAGCAATTTTCATAATAGTATGATTAGACTATATGAAAAACTTATAAAGAAATCTTACATAGGTTGAGTATCCCTTATTCAAAATGCTTGAGACCAAGAAGTATCTCAGACTTTAGAGTGATTTGGATTTTGGAACATTTGCACAGCCTTTACTGGTTGAATATCCATCCCTAATCTGAAATGCTCTGGTAAACATCAACATGGCTCTCAAAGTTTTCAATTTGGGGGTATATTTGGCTATTTGGATCAGAGATGCTCGAACTGTGTGTGTATGTGTGTGTGTGTGTGTGTGTGTGTGTGTGTGTGTGTGTGTATGAGTATATGGTCATATAAATTATTCTGTACATCAACAAATGTAGCTATAATGAGAATGCAATTTTATGAGGAAGAAAGTAAAGCTCAGAGTGGTCAAGTAGCTAATGTATCTCCCATGAGATAGTCAGGGATGGCACACACTGTCCTAGACAGGCTTCAGGTTATTTGGAACCTTTTTGAAATATGGTCAGGGGTTGAATGAATTCAATACTTTTTGCCTCTGCCTGATTCTTTCCTTTGATAAATAGGATGCTGAAGGTAGGGACACTGAAAAGATTCTGCTGGAAGATGAGCAGTGTGGTACTTAGGAAAAAGGGTTTTCATTTTCCATTCTGCACAGGTTTCTAGACTTTATGGAATCAATTTCCTGTGTATCAACTAAGAAAGTGATTCTGAGTTCTTTCATTTGTTACTAATTTGTTCTCTCATTTTGGGTCTAAACCTAATGTAAAGATGGCAAAAACTTTGAAAATTAGGTATATATATATATATACACTTTATAGAAGTATGGGTGAACAGCAAATATACTTAATGGTGAAAGATTAGAATTGTTTTCTTTTGGTGAGCATGGTGGCACCCACATGTAATCCCAGTGGCTCAGGAAGGAGTCTGAGGCAGGAGGATTGCGAGTTCAAAGGCAGCCTCAGCAACTTATCGAGGCACTTAGCAAATAAGCAAGACCCTGTCTCTAAATAATATGTTAAAAAAAGGGATGGGGATGTTGCTCAGTGGTGGAGCACCCCTGGGTTCAATCCTCATTTCAAAAAAAAAAAAAATTTTTTTTTTTAAAACATCAGGACTGACACAAAGGAGCCAGCTATCAGTGCTTCTCTTCAATATTATTCCAGAGCCACTGGCTAGGAAAGGAAGTAGAAACACAATATGAGAATTAGAAGAAACAGCTGGGCATGGTGGCACATGCCTGTAATCCCACCAGCTTGGGAGGCCGAGGCAGGAAGATCACAAGTTCAAAGCCAGCCTCAGCAATGGTGAGATGCCAAGCAACTCAGTGAGACCCTGTCTCTAAATGAAATATGAAATAGGGCTGGGGATGTGGCTCAATGGTCAAGTGCCCCCAAGTCCAATCCCCAGTACAAAAAAAAAAAAAAGAAGAATTAAAAGAAACAAAAAAAAATTGTCATTATTCATAGATAATGATTATCTTTAGAGAGAATCAAAAGACTATGTGGGCTAATTATTGGAATTAACAAGAAAATTTAATAAGGTGGTTGAACATTAGGTAAATATACAAAGATTATATTTCTGCACTCCATCAATGATCATGGAGGGACTGGGAATGTAACTTGGTGGTAGAGCATTTGCCTATCATATGCGAAGCCCTGGGTTCAATCCCCAATACCTCAAAAAGGAAAAAAAAAATCAGAAAATAGAGAAAGGCAGTATTTAATAGCTTTAAAAATACCAAGAAATATATCTAGCAAAAGGTATACAATACTGCATAAAGAAAATTAAAAAACATTATTGAAAAATCATTAAATATGAGCAAAAAAGGGGACAAATATGCCATATTCATAAACAGGAATGCTCAATGGCAAAATGATATTATTTGCTACAAATTAATCTATTTACTCATTGCAATTCCATTGAAACCCTTATCAAAAATTTTCAGTTTGACAAGCTGCTTCTGAAAGTCATATGACAGGGCTGCGGGTATGGGTATAGCTAAGTGGTAGTGAAGTACTTGTTTAGCATGCTTGAGGGCCCTAGATTTGATCCCCAGCACTCTGTATCCACCTCACACACACAAAAAAAGCTATGAAAGATCAAAGGCCCACAGACATCCATTCATATGAATGGGGAAGAACAGGTGTGGGTATACGTCTCACCTAAAATGAAGATTTTTTTTTAATTATAAAACACAGCAATCAAGATAGATTGATATTAAATACAAAGAAATAGACCATAAAACATAGTAGAGAAGTGGAAAACAAATCACACATATATGTAGTAAATTTGATTTTTAACACTGGACCATTCAATAAACAGGTGCCAGGATAATACAGATATATGAAAAAAATAAATCCTCACTTAAAACATATGCCCAAATCAAGTCTTCAACAAATAAAGAGGTGAATGTATAAAGCAAAATTTGAAAACTTTCAGAAGGAAATATATTTTATGATATAAGTATAGAGATTTCCCAAAGGAGAAAAGAACATAAATCACATAGGAAAATATTAATAAATTCATCTACAGTTAAAATAACACAAAATCTTTTGTTCAGCCAATGACACAAGAAAAAGTAGAAAACCAAGCTTCTTGACAGAAGAAGACATTTATAATGCACGTACTCAACAGAGGAGTAGTGTATTAAGAATAAAAAAGCAGCTGGGTGCTGGGGCGCACGCCTATAATCCCAGCAGCTTGGGAGGCTGAGAGGAAAGAATCACAAGTTCAAAGCCAGCCTCAGCAAAAGCAAGGTGCTAAGCAACTCAGTGAGACCCTGTCTATAAATAAAATGCAAAATAGGGCTGGGGATGTGGCTCAGTGGTTGAGTGCTTTTGAGTTCAATCCCTGATATCACCCCCCCCCAAAAAAAAAGAATAAAAAAGCAGCTTGTTCAAATCAATAAGATGAGGATAAATAACCCAACACAAAAATGAGTAAAAATATAAATAGGTCAGGCATG